GGAATCATTATTTTTACAATACGCAATTGTATTATTGGTCTCACTCTAAATAATTTTTGAAATGTATTATCCAAAACCATGCATTTGTTTCCACTATGTTTCATGCATATCAATACAGGTGGTCCTCATTTAACAACCACTCATTCAGCAATCATTTGATCTTAGAATGACACTGAATGAGTGGTAGTTATGACTGGTCCTTGTACTTACGGCCATTGCAGCATCTCTGAGGTCCCGTGTTCACCATTTGTGATCTTCCTGCAGGCTTCCGACAAGCAAAGTCAATGGGGAAGCCATCAGGAAGTTGCAAGTCATGGTCCTGTAAGGTCCTTTCTTAGCGACCCATGTGGTCCTTGCTTAACAACAACAACTGGGACTGCCAGAACTGCCATCACTAAGTGGCATGGTCACATGGTTTTTTTGGTTTTTGTTTTACTTATAACCACATCATTTAATAATGGAGTTTTCAGTCCTAATTGGCATCATTAAGTACATTTCTTGAGCTGTGACCCTATTGTGGGGTTAGCACTTGAAAGGGAAAGACTGCTGCTGAATAACAGAGCATGCTTGGAATATATAATAACCTAGCTTCAACCTATTCTTTTGAGTTACTGTTAGTGAAAATAGTTTTGGAGTAGATGGGCCAATCTACTTTGAGAGTGTGGGGCACTTAATTGTGATATAAGTGTTTTATATCAACAAGTCTGAAAATATAGCATAGCTTAATAGATGTTTGTCTCCCTTTTTTCCCAAAATAATACTTTGCATGTTAAAGGTTTTAATTTTTAGTGAATGTTTTGTCTATTGATTCTGACATAAATTATTTTGGCAGACATTGATGCTAACTATGTTTTGTTGCTGTATACAAGAAAGTGTTTCCTAGCGTCTTCTACTTCTGGAAATATACATCTAATTTTTCATAGACACGCATCTTCAGGCACAAAACCCATCTACAGTATTCCAGTTGTCCTAGTGTACTTTCAGATGTTATAATAAATCAGTAATATCTAGTAATCTTTTAATGTATTCAGAAGTACTGATTTAACATATATTTATCTGAGTGACCACTGAGCTCTTTTTAAATATTATTATCTTAATATAGAAAAAGAGAGAAAAAAAGAAAAAGCACAAAACAGCAAAAAGAAGGAAGATAAATTATGTTGCTTATAAGAAATAATTCAGCTAGCTTTTGAACAGATCATTTAAACCTTGACCAATCTTTCCATTACACTGATAGAAAAATGTCTTATAAATGAAAACAAGAAAGATGTCTTATAAAAACAAACATAAATCAGTAATCCAAGATTGTAAATCTAGGGTTATACTTGCCTTTCCAATACTGAAGAATTATCTTTTTTTTTTCCTGACTTCTTGTCTGAGAAACCATAATTCATAGAATGATAAGTTTCAAGTTTTTGATATATAATTCAAAAGTACTTTCACATTTTTAAATCACAGTGATCTTTCTAAAAGCATATTAACTAATTAAAACAGGGCAACAGCACAGCAAACCTATATTGTATGAGTAATCCCCTCATTCATAACATTAATAGCCACCCTTTTTAAAATATTATTTGGGGTATCCAGTTAATATGAACAAGAATATTTTGTTGAATTAGTCTTATCTTAAGAACATAAGAAGCATTCTTTAAAATTTTTAGCCATTGATTAATTGATGTGAGATATTCTCTTTATTCCAGAGTCCTTGAAAATAACTGATATTTACATGATGAATATTCTTGTATTGTTTATTTAACATCGATTTGGAATCAACTAATTATTTTAATACAGATAGTAATTCAAAAGTTTTATATCCTGCTGCTACATATGGATTAAATTGTGATTTGCAGTTCTGACAATTCACATCTCTTTTACAAATTATTTAGAAACTAGATTGGCAATAAATTGATCTTTAATATTAATTCTCCTAATTGTCCATTCGTCCCCTCCTCCCAGAAAAAAAGATTTCTATTTCAAACTGGGATTTATCATGTGAATAAGAGTTAAAATTATATTTCCAACCCAACATTTTCCAAATGTGCTGTGCAACCTTTAACGCAGGAAATATAATAGAGCTATCACTAAAAATAGAGCCAAATCCTTGCCATGAAGTCAAAGGAATCACATAGCACCTTCCTAATTGCGCAATACTTAGTTTTGGACTTGATTGCTTGCATTTCAAAAAGAAATTGAAGTAAAAATATATGCCTAACAATAAAGATGAAAATCAGGAAAAGTAGACATACCAGCATCATACGATAGCCCTAATTTAGATAAAGAAAATCTAGGGTTTGTTTTATATATATATTTGTACATACATACATACACACACACACACACACACACACACACATACACACACATACATACATACATACACACACATACATACATACACACACACACACACATACATACATACATACATATATATACTTCATACCTTACTAATTAGTAAAACCTTTAAGAAGACTGATAGGGACTATTCTTAAGTAATATCAGTCTTGAAGTAATATTCATTTTTACGTTTATGTGCCACAAATGAAGAAAGTTTCCTTGGAATAACTATTTCCAAATATTTTAAACAAGTAGCAATTGAAACTTCAGTTATTACAAATTTCCATAGAAACATTTGAGCCAATAGGAAATATATGGGATTTACTCCAAATAACTGAGTAATCAAACTATTGAACAATATGAATACGCTTTGTATAGAAATTACAGAATTATCAATAAGAATATCACGGAAATGTAATCATAGTTGTTCCAATTGTTTCAATACCAAATTAAGAGATAAGGGACACCTTTGATAAATTCCCCAATACAGTTTGATAGATGAGGAGGTAATTCCAGGAAAGGCAGTGGTTTACCACATAGCAATCTAATTGATAAAAAAATAAAGGAAAAATAAATAAAGGAAAAGTCTCAAAAATTTCCACTGCAACTCAGACCAATTCATGACATGGAAACTGCACTGATTGCTCTGGCCAATTACTTTGGCCAGGACCGTGATGGGGCACAGTGGCAGACACTCTTGTGGACAGGTGAAGAGCTGTCTAGTAAGTAACCGAAAGCAAACACTGCACTCTGCAAAGTTGTAGAGAAAGTGCTGAAGTTTGTTCTTCCCAGTCCATTGAATATTCAGCAACAGGGATTGAAAACAAAAGCAGACTTCTTGAAGCCTTAGGAGACTAAACCAAGAATTCAAAGCAACATTTAATATAAAATGACTTTCCAACTTGAGGAATCAGCGCTCTATTCTGCCTGGATAATTAGTTGCATCAAGACCAGGTAGCACAGAAGGGTGAAAAATCTGTTTATACAGGCCTGCTAAGGGTACTCAGCAGGAGTGCTCCCCACAGGTTCTCTTTGTTGTCCTCTGGCATCTAACATCTCCCACAACTTCTTTCCAAACTCCCACACCTGCTTATTTATCAGAGCAGCCTTTATGGTGAGCAGGCACTCAATCTGCAGACATTTATATCCTGCTACTGTGGCTTACTAAAAGGAGGCTGGTGTTTTCCCTTTATCGCATGCACCCCTCTTAGTTCTATTAATATCTTAGCAGAGTTTGATACCATTGACCATAGCATCCTGGTATATCATCTGCAAGAGTTGGGAGTTGGAGGCACTGTTTTAGGGTGATTCCACTACTACTTAGGCAGTTTCAATAAGTTATCATAGGGGAACAGTGCTCATATCCACAATGATTCCTGTATGTAGTGCCACAAGCTTGGTGCTTTTCCCTATGCTGTTTAACATATGTGCAACTTCTGAGTAATATTATCCATTAGTTCAGGGTGAGATATCATCAATATGCTGACAATATCCAAGTACACATTGCCACCCAGAGGTGAGCTAGAGTTCCCACTGACAGCCTGAACTGGTGTCTGTAGGCTGTTAGGATCTGGATGGGGCAAAACAAGCAAAATTAAATCCTTCCAAGATTGAGTTCCTTGGCATTAATAAGCATCAGGATGATCTGCTAGCATCAGTCCTAGCAGTTATTGTGGATGTGGTTGTTTTCCCCTAAGAGAATTGGTCCATTATTAGGAAGTCTTCATGGACACACAGCTCCTGATTAAAAGCAGGTAGAAATCATGGCCAAGGAGGCTTTTGCCCAGCTTTAATTGATGTACCAGTTACAGCCTCACCTCAGATAGGATGTCCTGGTGATAGTACTCATACTCTGATCACCGTGTGTTGGGACTACTCGTGCTCCATATGGGGCATCTTTCGGAGCTAAACCAAAAGCTTCAATTAGTCCAGAATACCACACCCATATGCTGCTGGGACAACCTCTCCATTGTAGAGCAATACTGATTGATACACTGCATTCCCATTAGCGTCCAGGCCCAATTCAGAGTTTCAGTTATTGCGTATAAAACTTTTTATGCCACAGCACCAGGATATATCATGCAATGCTTTGCCAGAATCAACTCCATCTGTCCAGTCTGGTCATTTTAGGAAGGCCTGTTGAGAGTCCTTTCTTCTGGGAGGTTCATGTAACTTGGACAAGATAGTAGGCCTTCTCCATGGTGGCCCCATATTATGAAACATGCTTCTTCCAGGGGCCTGAATGTCACCTTCTCTTAACGTATTTCATAACATTGTTATCATTTTCTTGTTTCATCAAGCAGTCAGTTCCACTTGATTGGTTAGAAGTGGTCATGCCTCCATTTATATATTTATATATTTGTACAAATATATGTAGTTTCTTTTTTTGTTTGAGGGGGATGTTGGCTGTTTGTTTATTTGTTTTGGCTTTGTTTTTACTTTGTGGTATGCCAATCAGAGTTGTTTGGTTAGGCTGGTTAATAAATGTAGCAAATACATAAATGCATACATACATTTTTCCATGAAACATAATTAGTAATAAAACGATGTACGTACGCCTTAAAGGCATCCCAATCAACCAATAGATTCATAGAATGTGTATTTCTAAGAGAAAAATCTTCAAACCTGACAAATTGTATTCTTGATTTTTTCCCTCATTCTAGGGCCCTCCAGGTGTTCCAGGATTTCAAGATTTCTTTAAAGGGGCAAATTATCAGGTATGGATATTATGAGCATTTCAGTATCATGCAATTTAGTTGCTGATGCATATGCTCACTTAACTTCCTGTCTTATGAATCTTCAGATGCTCACATCTCTTTTGCATGTGAAAGTCAAATTCCGTACCACAAGAATACTGGTGAAATTGTTTGGAAGACAATTGCTGACTCTCACATATTTAATGCAAATACAAATCAATGTACTTTATTAACAAAGTTTCCATGTCATCACTGGCCTTATTTTAATTAAGAGTCTCTTGACTGAAGGACAGATACTTTGAAATGCCGGGGTTGTTTAGGCTGTTTAGCTAGATAAATTTTAGGTAAGTTTTATCCTACTTTCTGAAATTAGACCTTATCTTGATTGATTTGTTCTTCTTGTTGGTAATTATTCTGACTCTTTTAGCTTGCACATGGAGATGAAGGTGAACCAGTATAGTAATATGTTTTGCTATATAATTGTAACAATTCATTGGCAAAAGGAACATAGAAAATTAAGTAAGTGGTAAGCCCATCTGCTATACTGAATAAATTCAGTAAAGCTACAAAATTCATTTTGTTTAATTCATTCTCTTTAGATTTTTTAATATATAGTTAGAAGGAAGATCCAATGAGTTAAATGGTTCTGTCTCTAAATAATGGGTTTTATTCTTGAGAATATCAATGACTTTGCACGCATGTAATTTATATCCTGGTACAGTGGTACCTCGGGTTATGAACTTAATCCATTCCATGACTCTGGTCGCAACTCGAATTGGTCACAACCCGAAGCAAATTATTCTTGCCAAGCCTGCTCTGCATTTTCTTTGGAGCCATGCTGACAAGCACACCAAAACCTTCCAAAACACCACAAAACACACCACAAGCCTCACCGAACGTCTCCTTGCTACCGCGATCTCGCCCACAGGAAACCGCGACCGCGTGGCAGGAGGGAAAATGGCCACGGATCCGGTACATAACCTGAGGCGGAGTTCGCAAACCGAGGTAATTTTTTGCGGCCGGAGCTGGTCGTAACCCAAAAAGTTCATTAGCAGAGGTGTTCATAACCCGAGGTACCACTGTACTTTAGTGGCTTTATCCAAGCCTGTTGCGTGATAAACAAACAGATAAATTTGAAAACAGCCATGTGATGAAGAGTTTTGTGGAAGCTAGGAGCCTTAACGCTGATATATTAATCTACATGTCTGCATTTTAAAGAGCACCAATCTTTGTATCTTTCTCTGTGCCTTAAATCAAGGGTGGGCAGAATATAAATTTGGATCTGTTCAGGTAGATCTTTGAGTGGTTTGCAGATTAGAACTTTTCATTCCTTGTCCTGAAATAACATTGCTAAAAAGAAATGTGTGGCAGGAAACTAATCTTTTATATGAAAAGACTTCTGGACTTGGCTCTGGTACTGTTGACAAATTACTAAATTCATAAATATGCTTGCCAAGCTGAGTCAGTATTTGGTACCAGTCTTCCCTGAGTGACTTTGAGTTTCTAGTAAGAAACGAAGTAAATTGTGCAAGTCAGAAATTTGCTCATCTGCGATAATTAAATGAGATATTCTGCTGCACCATGAGAAGGTTAGGATTTACAGATACTGTAAACATTCATTTCTTTCTAATTACCATTTTGTCCCATCCTGACAATCCACAAGATTTCCTTTAAAATGGCCTAATTAGAGCATTGATGAGAAACATGATCTAATTGTTATTTTGTATTTTCAACACAAAATAAATGAGCAGGTTACATCATCATTTGGATATAATTTTTAATCTGTATAGCTAAATCAGTCTTTCAGAAAGATGGCTTTTGTAATGTTTAATCATCTAGCTTTAATTCAGGGAAACAGCTAGGAGGCTTCTTGATTTTACAAAAACCAAACTCTCTTTATCATCTCTTGGTTTAACATCTGTTACTTCCACAGTGAGTTCAAACTTCTACTACTCACTAATTTGCCTACCTAAATAAACCCCATATCACAAATCTTCAATCATTGTCTTGGGTTTGCTTGACTCTGAATCCATTTCTCATGTTCCCGCCTGGCACTGTCCCTTTCCTGTGCTGATACCTAACTCTCATTTCTAGAGCCAAGGTTTGTCTTTCACCTAGTTTAACCACCTCTCTTTCTTTCTACGAAAAAAGATCAGTTCTGATACTAGTATTATTTCTTTGGAGTCTTAATAGAGCTCTTCCATGGAAGCTTTATAACCAGCTTCCGTTCTGTAGTAAAACTCAGTTGTACTGTGAGTTCACTTCTCAGCTATACTGTGAATTCTGTTCTTCAAAGCTCTGAATACACCCATTCCTCATTTAGCAACTACCTCATTTAATTATTGTTCACAAATATGATAATAAAAAAAACAATAAATTCATTTTCTGACCAATGCGTGCATTGACAACCTAATTATGTGTGCCTGACAACAGCGCGTGCCGGAGTGAGAGTAATGCTGGCATAGCCGTATGAGAGAACTTTATCTGGATGAAACAGCAGCAATCAGTGATCTTTGCAGTGTCTTTCCCTGTTTCTCAGTCATGTGTTCACTTAGCGACCATTCCACTTAACAATCTGGTTACTGTTACTGGTTACTAAACAAGGAGTGGGTGTACTCAGCCACATTATTGAGGTTATTAACCTTTTCTCAGAATCCTAGGATGGTATAGGGTTCAGTTGTTTATACTGTTGATTAAGTGTTGCAGAATAAGCCAAGCAGCTTACTTATTTACTAAGTGGTAAATTTGAAAGCCTGGGGGATTGTGCTGAAATTTTTCAGGAATTCAACCAACCTCAACCATATACTCCGCACTCTTTGGCAGTTTCACTTTATTTTCTTCCTCTTCCTTGTCTTTGTATTATTATCTCAGATTACTCAGAGTTCTAAGACATTTTGTTTTGACTTATTACAAATTCAGTTTTTGTTATTAAAATGTTTGGCAACAAAGTCCCTAACAATGGCTTGCCAGCAGTTTGGACTGATTCAGAACAGCCATTTGGCAGGTTCTGGGTAACTTCTTTCTTAAACTTTAGTCAACTGAGGTGACTATCCTATTTTAAATTTGTGGCCAAGTGTCTGTTTCCAAATGATAAACTATATCTTGTGTGGGTTTCTAAGGATGTGTGGCCAACCAGAAAGAAAGTTCCTTGGACTGATTGATTGATTGATTGATTGATTGATTGATTGATTGGGTTACTCTGAAAGAAGCTTGCCACTACCTTTACATTTCTTCGTCTTTCTCTTAAAATCACTGCAGTTTTAACTATTCTGTTCCTCTGGCCCATCCAATACCATCAAAACTGAAGTCAACTTTGATGTCTGTAGTATCCCAACCACTGCTTCATTATTTTTCTAGTGCTTTCATCATTTCTTTTTGGCAAATTCTAATTTTCTACCTCTGACTTAGTGATGGTGCTCTACTAATTATACTAATATAATTATTAATATACTAGCCTAAGATTCCTAGAAACATATTAAACAGAATGGAGGTATTCTATCATACATTTTTATAGATGAGCTCATTTCCCCAGTTTGTGGAAAAATTGTATATGACCAGCTGTGTGCAAACAAGTTAGTCAAAGATCAGTATCTTCCTGGGTTGTTAAGCATAGGTACAGGTCAATAGCTGTTGTTGTATTCATGATTCATACCTACTGTGCTATAGATTGCACTGCTATGTTTGAGCTTTTTAAAGAGCTGCTTTATATTTCCTAATCCTTTGTGGCTAGAAAACTAACTGCATCAAGGCTTTTTTTTTTTTCTTCATTATGTATAGCTTGCTTCTTGTAATCATTCTTGGTATATTTTGCATGTTTTAGTAGCCTCTTAATTCCTACTTAAGATTAAGTTTGTGGCAGGTGACATGAACCGGAGTTGAGGTCCTCAGGATATGATATGCATCTGTCTGCAAGATTCATGTTTCTTACAATTATAAGACCCTTCAAATTCCTATGCCTTATTATGTTTCCCAGTTAATATCTTCTGGCAAAACATGGGGGCCAGCTGTTTCATCTTCAAGAAATTAATCATCTTTTTAACCCTCACATACTGCACTAATACACTCCTCCTTTCAGCTGTCCAATGCAAAACATTTAATGATTTATTCTCAAGCAAACAACTTTCCAGAAAAGAAGTGCTAAGTTTAGTATTTAGGAAGATGATTTACCAATCTAAACTTCAGCTTTAAGTACTTAGACTTTCTGGAACCAGAGTTTCAGGTTGCAACAAGACTGGCCCATGTTTTCAAGACCTGAGATGTATAAATTAAGCTAAAAACAGTATAATAGTATGACTATTGAGAACAGTTTACCCTTTCTGGATATTAATGGATCATTAAAACAAATACGATATTTACCTAAAAGAAAGACACTCTTGAATTTAAAAAGATGTTACAACACCATGATCATTATCCACAGGAAGATCAGATAGAAAAACAGTTACTAATATACTCAAAAATTCTTTATAATATCCAGCTTCCCTAACATGTCAGCTAATTTCAAGTAAAATCAGTCTTGTAGATTTTTTTTTGTTTTTTAGTCTAACAAATGTGTGCATGAAAACCATGTCTATATTGTGTACGTGGGAGGGAGAGGGTGTATACATGACAAAACACTCACATACATGTTCATGCACTGGATAGAACCAGACTCCTCAAAAGGGAAATGCTAGGAACAAAGATTAAGTGCATATTAATTATACTTTAAAATTAATTGCCAGTACAATAAGGTACACCATTTAGAACATTAATTGTTCTCAGCACACAAACTATTGCCTTGCCTATACATACGTACATATCTATCCTGAGAACGAGAGGCTGGAGAAATCTAGGCTTAGCAAGTTTATACAGTACATCATTATGCTATAGTAAATCCATTAATTTCAATGGCTCTTACTGATGCTAAGTATGCCTAGGCTGCTACTGTGCTAGTGATGGATCTGTGTATATCTATTTATATATATTAATAATTATTTATTACATGAATTTGTATACTACCCAATTGCAAGGAGTATACAGAATACATAATAGAATAGTTATCACAAAAACCAAACATCTTTCAGTCCCCTCATAAAACACTAAACAGTATTAAAATCCAGCCAAAACAAAAGATAGCCCATCACCATTAACACATAAATACCTATCAAACAGGACAGGTTTTACATTTTTCCAAATGTAAAACAATGAATGAACATCGGGAGCTAAGCTCTTCCATAGTGTCAGTGCCACCACAAAGATGGTTTGCCTCTGGTCTCCTTGATCTCTCATAGGATGAGGATCCTGAACAACCCCTGTCGAATGAACACACAGGATGGGTGGTTTCTAGTCAAACAAGGCAGTCCTGAAGTAAGTGAGAGTGAGTTATGTAGCAATTTATAGGATAACACCATCAGTTTGAATTGTCAAGGAAAGATAATCAGCAATCAATGCAGCAACCTTTAACGTAGGTGTTGTTCTGCCAAAGCAGCTTACTCCATGCAGGGCACCACATTTTGAACCAATATATCATTGATTCAACCCTTCCATTCCCATGCACATATTGCATGTTGCATATTGCATAATTACATACAATTTTATTCTGAGAATAAGCAATACTGAACTCTGTTGGCATGTCATCCTCAACTTCTAAAACACTTTTTTGATTTGAAGTAATTTGAAATATGCCAGCTACATTCATTTGGAAATGCAGAGATGCATTGTTCGCTATTTTAGAATATGATTTCTTGCTATTTAGATTGCAATTATATAGTATAAATTACTCATAGAAGGGAATATTGGATAACCATTATGAAGAGGAAGATTTTGGGAAACTGATCTCTTACCTATTAGTTGTTAACAAATTAGATCCTCATTCACAACTGATCCCCATTTTCTTTTTTGGGAAAGAGTCTTCGAGATGAAAAGGGATTAAAAGGTGCAAAAGGAGAAAAGGTAAGTAATCAATTGCAATTGGGAGTTATGGTAGCACGGCTGATTTGTTTATATGGGATTTCTGAAAATTAAAAGTGGCTTTCATTCTTGCCAAAACCTTTGGAATCAGGGAGAAAATCTAGGAGTGGAAGCATGACTTTAATGCCCATTTTTTAAGCATTTCTTGAGTTTTTCAATTAAATTTTCTGACATTATCCCAAGGGTGTAGAAATTCCTCAGGTGAAGCTCAATTGCATGCTATGGAGCCCAGAAACATGAGGGCATCTACTTTCTGTGACATACTGTCTCCAAAGAACCCAAACTTGAGAGATGCTTTTATGACAAAGCAATCCTCAGTACTGGCAATCCTCAGATGTGTTTGGACTTCTATGAGTGAGTGAGCCTCTCTAGAGTGTTTTAGGTATCTTAAGTTGAAACCTTTAGCAATCTAAGCATGTTTCTTTGTAGCAAGACAGATTTTAAGGTAGCAGGATTAAGCATAGTTAATGAATATGAGACCTAATTAACTGTATAGGACTTGATTCTAGATACCTTTACTCAGAATTAACTTGAGCAGTCTAAACAACTATCTTTACTCTGTTATTCACACAAATTTCATCATAGCCACAATAGGTTTTCCTGGAAATAAGTTCTACTGGTTTAAGTTTGTCTAACTCCCAAATGAACAAAATGTGGAAAAAAATATTATTGGAATTATGCCCCACTAATGGAAAATTTAAGTGAGTCCTGCTGAAACATCAGAATTCCTAAATATGGGACAATTCACGCATAACTATAGTAAATGCTCTCATAATTGCCTGGTTTGGGGTTACTATTAATGAATAAGCCTGGCAATGAATGTTGTAAGACTACAGCTGATTAACACCTTCAACCAGCAAGAATGGCTGAACAGACCCCAGATCCCCATCCATAGTTGCTAATTTGTTCACTGTTTGACTGTTCTATATTTTGCATGTGGAGTTTGTGTGTGGATAGAAATATATTTTCTGAATGATTTCAGTGCAGCATTGGATATTCTGCATTATATGACCTTTCATGGAGTCACCATAATGCTCAGATGCTTTGATTATCAACTATTTTTAACACTGATAATTCTGTATTTTCCATGCAGAAATGTGAATCAAAATGTCCATATAAATATTGAGATTACTTGTACTCTGTCACAGGGAGAACCTTCTGGAAAAGGAGAAAAGGGGGATTCAGTAAGTACAGCTCAAAATTCCCCTTATGTTAACAGCACCCTGTGAGTACTTCTAATACTTGTTAATACATTTAGAATTTTTTGTAGAAAAAAGGAGAATTTCATATCTGTTACCAGCTGGCCCAAGTGATTGCATTTATAGGGGGATAGAGTGTAATCTACTTTGGACCATTATCTCTGAAAGAAGTCCATGTCTGGGGGAAACCAATTCATGGCTATCTATTGGTTGCACTTGTACTCCTGTAGGACTGCCATATCTTTTTTTCTACAGATGGGACATTTGCATAAGGATTTATGCTTAGGTGCCAGTTATGGAGATATTTCTGAAACTGTATTGCTTTCATCTTTGGGAGTCTGCGCCTTGAATTTTAAATGTATAGAACTTATGGAAAAGTTACATCCAGTTGTGAACATCTGACAGATTTGAACATGGTACCTTTTTGTCACTACTGTATGTAATCCAATTATCACATAATATAAAATAATTTCATTTTGCCAAATTTACAGATCATGGGATTGATTTGCTCCAGAGATACTTGTGAAGCTATGATAGTACCTTAGTTACTAATCTGAGTAACTGCTCATGGATTCTTTTCTTCATTGTTTACTGATGATACTCAGTGATCGGTTACTTCCAGTGAAAGTGATGAATTGTATTCAATATTATCCTTGTTCTGTGGCATGTCCTCTATTCTTCCAAAAGGTTCCCAAACAGCAAGGTTACATTTCAGCCACATAGTGGATAAGTGGCAACACCAGTGGCCCCCTTATTCACAAGGGTTCCTTTCCAGCTTAACCATTTTAGATAACAAGACCTGGAGTCCACACCTGACATTTGTACATGCACACAGAAAACACTCCAAAAGTTCTCCAAACAGAACCACAGATCAAAAAGTGGAGATTTACAAAAGCCTTTACTGTGGATAACGTGGTTGTCTGATCTTGATTTACCATCCACATCATGCAAAGCCATGAATCACAGGGGCCACTTCTACAATAAGTGGGTACCCTGCTGTATATAAATGGAAACCATCCACTAGCACATCACCATTGGGAACAATCTAATGTATGTATTGCAAAGGGATTATACTAACAGGTTCTGGAGTTAAACTACTTGCCTTGCAAGTGATTTCACTTCCATTTTTAGAGTAAAATTTATGCAAAAATATTACAAAGAAAGGTAGTATCTCATTAGTATATATACTTACCTATTCTACACAGCTTTCATCTCTAAATATAGATAACTTACCTTTTTTAAAATGTTGTTTTAGGGCGAAGTAGGGGAGCCTGGTCTTCCAGGGCCTACTGGAAACCCAGGACCTCCGGTATGTAACTTATATTTGATAAACAGTGTATGAATATTCTCTTACAATCCAGTAATGGGGTACCATTGATATCCAGGTCTGTTGTGCTATAAATGATTTGAACTCTTATATGTTCCTGAGTTCTGTTGGTTTCCTAATTGTACCTATACAAAATGCCAAAATATATTTAAAATATATAAATGTTCATAGTATTCCTATTAGCATTTTAAAAATTAAATCTGATGATAGCTGAATTAATACAGAAAATGTATAAAATTTCATAATAATCTTCAACCTGACTGTAGCTGAACTTTGTCCAAATTGTGAATTTTTTTTATTGGTACATTGCCAAATGCACAATTAAACAATCAGAGGTTGTATTGCAGGCCCAAGTCACCTCCCAGCCTAGTGACCTTCTTTAGCAACTAAAGCAGGGTTATAAAGCTATAGGTCTCCAGATGTTTATAGAATTGTAGAATTGGAAAGTATCTTTGAGATCATCATGCAGTATAGATGTCTGTATTTTCAGGTCTTCCTCATTCGCTTTTTGAAGATACTGATGACAGTTGTTCTCCTACAATCTTCTAAGTCATCACAACTCCTGTAGGAATTTTCAAAGTTTATCAGGAGCAGTGATCTGCTAAACTACAATAACCAAACACCATATCCAATAGTGAGGGATAGTGCAATGTATTTCAGCAACATCTGGAGGGCCACAGATTTTCCATCCCTGAATTAAAGTTTATAATGCTACTTCTTCCCAAAACAGAGAAAATGCGTTTTATTTCATACTATGTATACAATAATGTATATTTTATCCTTCAATTTGCATAGTCATAGGTAGTTAACAGAAAACCAAGCAATAAAAATAAAACCAGAATAGGCTTCTAAAAATGCAAGAAAAATAAAACATCAAGTTGAAATGATAAAATCAGTGCCAGCCATATTATTATAGATGGTAGATTATATGATGGGAGGCTAGAAAGACATCAACTTCAGAGGCAGGAATGGCTCCATGCTATGAACATTCTGCAAGTGTGACATCACAGCTGAAAAGCCTTTTCATTGTTTAGTATCCACTTTTCTCATAAAGTGAAGAAGCCAGAGGACAGCTTCTGAAAATTGCTACTGGAAGAAGTTGCCCAACTTCCTATTTCCCATACTCCTCAAAGAACTGGAAGGAACTCTCCAACTAATCCAAGGCTATCTGGAGATCTCATTTCCCTCCTTTGTCTCTGAAGTAGAAGGCCTTTGAATGATAATTCAGAGATAGGGGGCACCTAACTTAATCACATTACATTTTCTGCTTGCATGCAGTAGAGTGGCTTATGGAAATCAGGTGGTCTTCTAGTTAGATCAGAACACATTTTTTTCCTTTTGCATATAGATGTCAGAAAAATCTATAAACTATTTTGGTGCCAATTTCAGTCTATTGATTTTCATATCTTTAAACAATAAAGTATGTTATATCTGTTATTCAGAAAAAGCTAACATTTTCATTCATTTTCTTCAAATAAATCCCTTTATAAAAAGGAGGGGATAACAGTGTAAACATGTGTGTGCGGGGGGTCCCCTTTCTCTCCCTTTTCTAAAAAAAACTCACATTGTTGCAATTATGTTCTAGGGATTTCCAGGACAACCTGGCCCCAGAGGACTCTCAGGAGAAATGGCAAGTATCATACTGCTCTTTGTAAGAATTATTGAAGTAAAATATTAACCAATGAAATAATAATATTAAACTGTTGGTGATCTCCTTTTACAAGGAGTATAAGAGAAGTAATCTATGTGCAGAGATTTAGAGCCAGACATGCTGAGGTCTTCCACATTAACAATTTATGGTTTCACTCAGCCATCAACTGTGGTGATAAATCACTAAGGCAGACAGGCTTTATATCACCACAGCAATGGCTAGGTGACCCTATAAATTGCTACTGTAGAAGGCCTCAATAGCTTTATTGCTATACCTCTGGGTAGTTAAGAATATGCCATTCTATTTCCGTGTCTTTTCTATTGTTACTAAGAAGGTCAGTCCTAATAGTTTACAGTATAAGGATAGATTAATATATTTTTAGTTACATCATGTGGCTCTTTGGTTCAAAAAACATTTTTTCCCAGAAGAATGCAACTAGAGGCTTGAATGTTGCCAAGAACCTCAGATCTTTGCCTGGCAGATGGGGAAACCAATATTAAATGGTTTATGCCTGTCCATTAGTGATTAATTAAAACAGTTGATCCCGTAGAACTCCAAGTATATGCAAACACTTATCTGATTTCCAGGTCAACTTCCACTAATCTACTTCCAGTTCACTACTCAAATCACACAGACCGTGAGACCAACTCTTACCTCTGGCAGGAAAAATAGACAAATCCTGAAATGTCCCAGCTCAAGTAATATTTCTTAATGTACCATGTGGTATCGCTTATCAAGATTTTTTCCCCTTATACATTATCTTCTAAATGAAAAAGTGTTTCCTAGACCCATAGCTTTGTAATATTCAGTCCTTTTCATGCAGTCACATTGCTAAGATGTTTTTCAGATCTTTCATTCCCCATACTCAAGCTTTTGATCTCTTTGTGTTATTTGTTTGAAATGTATAACTATCCTTAAATTCATGTACTTGTATCTTTCTTTTGATATTGGACTCAGCAAGCACAACACTAAGTTCAGCCTTGGGTTCATTTGGCTTTTAGACCTGTTTCTCATGACTTTATCTAGTCCCTTTCTTCCTTCGTCTTGTTGCATTCATTTCCAAACCCAGAGACTTTGTTTCATTTTCTTGAATCACACTGTTGCCCTATTTGCCCAGATACATTTGAACTGCCATGTGAATTTACATGGAACTTCACTATCTAATAACACTGCGGGGAGATGGGCAGGGATAAGTCTATGTATAAATAAAATAAATAAATAAAAATAAACACATCACTAAGATTCATACTGGCCACAGCTCAGCCTTTAAGCTCCATGCATTACTCGCTGAACTAAGATACTTCTCAGGTGTCATGGCCTTTGCGTCTGGGTCCAGAGGCCATGACCACCTTCTCAATTGCCTCACCATTACTCATGTTAGCTGCTGTTCCAGGAGTACTCAGTATCACAGAAGAGATTTTGTTTTTAGGCTTTCTAATCCACCATCTGTAGAAATAATGAGGTGGTGGCTGCCAAGGAAATTTGAATTCAGATTCTCATGAAACTCACTGGACAAGTGAAACTCTGCCACGCTAATCTACTTTACATGAATTGTAAAGACAGTGAGGTACTCACATCTAGATATGCTATCCTGAGCTCATTGTAAGAGAATGAAACATAGATTCTTTTTGCTCATGTGTATGATGAGCAGAACATAATAATTCAGAACTGTAGTTTCTTTAACATTCCTATGCATAAATAAATGAGTTACCTGTTCTGCAAGTAATCAAAGTCTATGAGTTTCACCTTACAAAGAAATAAAATAAAAGTGTTTTATGTTATTTTATAGAATAAAATAAAATAAAATAAAATTACTTCCTGTAATGGAAATAATTCCTTTTTTCCCTTGTGAATTCATATACTTTTTTTTGACAAGTTCTGCCATTTCCAGTGAAATATATATGAAGCATAAAGATGAGAGAAGCATTACTTTGAGTGAAATTAATTGTAAAGCCTCAAGGCTATTTCATTTTCTGGGTTTCTTCATTAGAATTTATTCTAGAGTGGTCACATACACAATATAAACCTGAATAGAGCTCTTTAGAATGCCCCATTTGTTTAGATACATTCTAATTTATTTCATGTTTCATGTTCCTACATTTAAGGAGAGAGATAAAAAGAAAATAAGGATAGATAATAAAGTCATGTGGTTGAGGCAAAATTGGTTAGGAAAACTTTTTGCCATGTAATTATGTCTGCTTTCTTCATTACAGCCTTTATGTTTATAAAGTTATAAATTATGTCTCATGATTTGAAAGCAAATTAAAAAAAGAAATGTATCTCAGATAAACAACATCTGCTTTTTATGATTATTTTTAATAAAACCAAGATCATATTACAATTTCTTAAACAATTAATTTGGCTTACAAAAATCTAGCACCATCTAGCGAAAAAGGAAAGACCATTTATTGCTTCTGTTTGCTGGCCATGGACATCTTCAACTTTTCTTTTTTCAACATTTACTAATCATTTTTTTAAAAAAGAGTGAACAAACAAGCTAAAAGAAAAAATAAGAAAAAGTTACTGGTAAATAATTAAATTTATTGGTAAATAAAAAATAGCTGGTACAGAAATATTAATAAGTAGACAGAGGAAATACCAAGATTGTAAAGTTAGTGCTCAGTATGTCTTTGATTAGAAATTAACCATAAAATCATTAAATTACATTTAAGTACATTGTATTATTGTAACAATGCAAGTAAGAATTTAAATAGCTGAGCTAAGTGCCAAAATTTCCACCACTGGTTGTTTAAGAATACAAAAAGAGAGAGAAAAAAGAAGATAAAATTACTAAAAACATTATAGATAAATATTAGTTTCTAACTTCCCCTTTGTCATACTTCAACTAATGTACAATATATAGAGACATTTAAAATGTTTTGTGTGTCTCAGATTTCAATCCTTTAGTCGCTTCTTTTTCCCTTTAAAAACCATATTCTAGTTACATATACTTCCCTTGCTGCATAATATATAGAATGTATGGAAGCCATTCTTGCTTATCGTCCATTTTTCTAAGCCATGGATAAGCATAGGGTTCTCTCCTATAGAAGATAAATATTTTAAATAGAACTTTTATTCTTTGCATTGTGCCTGTCAATCCAAGGAAGGAAAATCTTAATGAAGTCCATTATATATTAGAGGTATTTTTTCCAGAATTATTCCTCTTTTAATAGGTAATTAGCTATAAATTCCAAGATGATAAGCTTTTCTTTTTAATTAACTAGGGCTTACCAGGAGAACATGGTATGCCTGGAAAACCAGGGATTAAAGGAGAAAAGGTAATTTTTCAACCAGTATTAAATAATTGTATGTTAGGTGAGAGATTCTATTTTTAATGTGTCTGCCCCAGCTACAGTATGGGTTTTATCTTGTCAACCTCAGATATATTCAATTTATTGTGTTTCTGCTATCTTGCTTGTTGAGAGAAAAAATTACCCTGTGATGAATATTCTTAAACTGAGGCAATGATTCAAATCGAATGGTAAATTTGGGGTTAGCTAAGTAGAACTTAGTACGCACCAATTAAAGGGAGCAAACATAATCAATCTCAGGCATCATGCAGTTCCCCGAATGTTTGAAAGGAGCCACTCCAGAAGTTTCCACCAGACTAATTTTTATGGTTACCATAAAATTCATAGGAAATTATACTTATTGGAAGCTGATTTTCATTTGCGGTGACATTAAATATAGTTCTTGTTTAGCATTAGCCGTCACTTTGTCTTAACCGTATCCATTTTGGGGAGTGGACTTTCCAGCAAAGCATGGTCCTTTCCCCCAACAACCCCCCCCCCAAAAAGATCATTGGCATCTTTGCTCTTAAGATGCTTGATAGGCAGCCAGAAGGAGATCACAACATGAGGAGTCCCCAGCAGAGGCTTGTCTTTTGTTTTTAAAGAGTCATCTGCACTGGAATGGATTTTTTAAAAATCTTGATTTTTAAATCAAGCTATCCCACTGATTTAGGCCCAGCCACAAGGGTGATACAAAATTAATTGAGTGAGGCTACTTGGAAATGTAGCTAGGAAGGTGGCTACCTATGTTGACAAGTGGTTTGACAACACAGGAAGAATGTGGAGATAAAATAATTCAGATAATTTAAATAAGACACATTAATATGGCTCTTCTAACTTCCTGTTAACTTAGCATTGTTTTTATCTATATAACACAGGGAGACTCTGGTGGAATCATAGGCCCACCTGGGCCTTCGGGTTCTAAAGGTGACCCAGGGCTTCCGGGATTAAGTCTTCCAGGAAAACCTGTAAGTACCATTAAGCATTCTATTGCAGAAAAGACTCTGAGGTCTCCAGAACAAAAATTCTGACCTCAAGTAGAATTACCCAGTATAGCATACACTGTTAGATTCAGGGAAAGGGATGTTATTCAGAGTACAGAAAGGAGGAAAAAAACAGTAGGTCAAAGAATTCAAAAGCATGACATAAGAAAAAGGAAACAGCTAGTTTTCACCAACACTATTCATTATCTCTCTCCCTACCTTTTATTCTTGCAAACCATCCTTGCTTCCATCATGTCCATACACCATTTTCACACATTGCCTTTTGTTCTTTAACCCAGCACTGAGTATTTTCAAAGATAAGCTTGTGTAATTCAGAGCTATCAGGTTATAAATAATGAGCCATTTAAAAAGATGTCTCTGAAGCCAACAGCTGCAGAAGATTCAACTTTGTAAGCTATTCATTTCTACACTCCTCTAGACTCCCCCCCCCCATGATTCCCTTTGTTACTTCTCATAAGTAATTAGCCCATAAATTATTCTGAAACTAAAACAGCAGTGAACAATTATCATTATAAGGTATCTTATTTGTTCTTGTACAATAGCACATCTGTGTCCTAATTAGAATTTTTCATGTCAATTTAAGAATTAATTCTTATTATTTCCTAATTACACAAAAACATATTATACATAGCTTTCTCCCTTCTTCTTTTTTTTTTTCCTATTTTAGGGACTAGCAGGCATTCCTGGGGCAATAGGTCCACGAGGGCCTAAGGTAGGGAAAGCCTATTCCAATCCTGTATTTAATTGCTTGGAGTAATGCTTTTATTCGAAGACTTTTAAAACAAAGGCTTAATCCTTTATCAGGGAGAAAGAGGGGTCCCTGGGCTACAAGGTCCTCCAGGAGAGATGGGGCCAGCAGGGAATGGAACCCTAGGACCACCCGTAAGTACAGACTTTGTTTTGTACTCCTTTCATCCCATTATTAACATGAATGTTGTTCTGCAATTGCTTCCTTGATGTAATGCTGATGGCAACTTTACCTTTAATATGTGATTTCATATACTGTATACAATTTCTTTTCCACCGTAAAAAAATGATAAAATGGCTCTTGACTGATCCCACTACTACACTTACTAGCATATCTGAATAGAATGGCTAAATAAAATTGTTCCTGTTTGGGTTTTGTGGTTGTCAAGGGAATGGACAGAAAGGAATTATGCACTACTGCCTAGCAAGGCAATTGGTCCTTTCTCTTCCCAGAGTGCAACTAAGCCAGAAGCACAATTCTGCAGATTGTGTCTGCCTACCGAAGGATAAAAATGCCTTTGGGTCATATTATTCTCCCAAGCATATCTTTTGAAGTTGAGTAGTTTTGGAAATTTTCTTCTCTGTTATTTTATACAATTATGAATGTCATGTTTTGTATATTTTACATTTGCATTTAGATCTTAAATCGGATGGTAAACAGTTCTCTTCAACAGGGGTTCTCAAATTCCAGAACCCCCTAAAAGGAAAGATGAATTTGTGTGAGCCTCCCTCGTCAATAAAAATAAGTAATAGCTGAGTAAATAATAACAAAAAATTGCTGGCAGAGGGTTTTGACAGATGGCTGGAGCTATAGGTATTTTGATAGCTCTCCTGCTTTGCCTGTGGAGCTTAATCACTCATCCTCTAAGTTGCTAATAACCCCACAGAGGGCCATGACCAATATCTTGACAAGCCTTACTCTACAGTATGAATGAATGAATGAATGAATGAATGAATGAATGAATGAATGAATGAATGGTTTCCTAGAAATTTTTTATTCCTCCCCCCTGAGAAGGAGCCAGAGTAGAGTGCCTCATTGCAGAAGGTTTGCAGAATCTCTAAGCACAGCTGGAAAAAAACTCCAAACTAAGATCCCAGAGGGTGACTATCAGTCTGGGTGAACTAGACTCACCAATGATCTGACTTCTGAAAGCAGCTTCCTATCATGATTCCTAATACTGTATTCTCCTGTATGGGTAGTCCCCAGGTTAAGAACGCTCTGTTTAAGCATGACCCATAGTTAAGAACAGAGCCTATTGTAGAAAAATTTGAGTTAAATACACAATGATTCACGTTAAATACACAATGGTTCGAGTTAATTACACAATACTACTTATGTAGTATTATACAATAATACTGTTCCAGCTTACATACAGATTTGATTTAAGGATGGACCTTAGGAATAGAACTCGTTCTTAAACTGGGGACTACCTGTAATCAACAAAATTAGCTAAGAAGAATCTTAGCCTAAAGTGATGCATTTATGCTGATGAATCACCAAAACTGAAATGCAATTCTATCTGTCTGAAATCCTGGTGGGTTTTTTACTTGGACAAGTTTTCAATAGCAATAATAACCCCCTTTTTCCTAGCATAATTTTAGCTTATAATAGTTTACAATATTTTATTTTTTAGCAAGATTTCATACATTGTTTCACAACTATTTTTTATTCAAATGACTGCTTTTGAGCTATCAGAGAATAGCTGTTTAAAAAACTAAAAATCCATTCCTGAAATGTTTTCCTAACTGTGACAGAGATATAGCTGTGACATCTGGAATCTTATAACAGATATAAGATAACTGGAGAATGTCCTTCCTGCTACACACTTCATACAAGATGCTGAGGACTATTTGTATATCCCTCAGTCATTGGCCACTGTTTTTCATTGTTTTCTATGGTCTTTAACATCATACATAGAAAAGGTCCATGCAGTGCTTCAGATTTAGTTCAAAAAAGATGCTTCAGAGCATGCAGGAGCTTGCATGTGGCACCTGTCTGCAGCTTATTAAAGCAGCTGTATCTCTTCCAGATTCAAAACAGACATGTGCTACATTTATGCCCTTTTGCAATCTGAAGCTTTTTTTTTGGGGGGGGGAAGGTGGAGGAGGGGATTAAACATAAAGAGCACTTTGGCCCTAGTGTTCAAACTGTCCTCTCCAAGATGTTTGACTACAGAGAACGCTAGAGCAGCAAACATTTTTTTTCCAAGTTATTTCATTTTGCTTCCCCGATGTCATTGTAAATGTCAGTAAAGGATGCTGTATGTTGTATATCTACAGCCTTTGAAGTAAGTTTAAACATCTTATAAAAATAAATACATTGCTATCACACTCATGACCAGTATTCTAGTTGCAGCATACATCTGCAACTAGTAAAACCATTTCAGTCTGGTTTTCTTTAATCTAGTATTCAGATTAAAAGTAGGGGGCATGTTGGAGTAAATTAAAATAAAATATTATAAATCTACATATTTTAAAATGTGCCTCTGTGTTTTATTTAAAAGATCATGTTTTAAAACTTTAGGAAAGTTCACTATCCTCATAATTACTGATTAAAATTACTCAATTATCCTGTAAATCTAGTAATAATAAAAGCTGTGGAGTAACATAACCATGAATGATCTACTTTAAGACCAGACAAACTCTATAACTTGGAAGGGAAGAGGCTTTTATAATCCTTATCAAGGATTATAAATCTCCATTTCCTGTGCCCCCTTCCATCTATGGGCCTGCAGGAAGAGGAATGATTTCAAAATATTTTTTTGTATTTTAGTTTCTGCCTGTTTTTAATACAGAATAAATCATTCTGTTTTGGACCAAGGTCTTTCTATCTTTAATGAAAATCCACAGGCTGATTACCAGGATTATATTCTCTTTTTATAGCTGACAGAAGATCCAACACATTTCACCACTGGCAAGCCCAATATGTATGAAGTACATTTAATTTCATTTTCCTGAGTACATTTTCCCAGGAAATGTATTCTAGTATTTATCAGAGAACAAAGTTCTGTATTGCTGTAGATTATATGTCATTTCTTTCAAAATAGTTCCTGACACAACCATTTTAAGTGAGAAACACAACATTCCCTTCAATGTCTCTTTGGCCCCAAACTTGTAGACTTTTGAGAAGGCATTAAAGGCTTGGTTTTTTCAATAGACCCTGGGCCAGGGTAATTTGTGAACCTGCTTGAATATCTATTATTTTACTTTTGGGGTAGCCATGCAGCTATTATTGTCTTGAGCATAAATTGTTTTATGATGTTTTGAAACCTGTACACTGCCTTGACATTTTTTCAGTATAAATTGAGGATGAGGATGATGACAATAAGGATGATTATTCACTCATTGCTTTCTTTTCCAGGGTCTTAAAGGGCCTCCTGGGACACCAGGATTCCAAGTAAGTTACCTCATAGAAAACCTGGGTCAATACTTTTACTGCATTTATTGTATAAGTCTTCCTTGATACCTGATTCTCCAAATGTTCCTGCCACAGGGACCAAGAGGGACTCCTGGATTACCAGGGACTCCTGGAACTCCTGGCCTTAATGTAAGTACTAACAGATTAAATAGTATGACAGTAATATATCCTTGGGCAAAAGCAATTCAACAACAACAACCAACCCTGCACTGTTTTTGTGTATACATACTTAGGGTATTCCAGGACGAGATGGAAAGCCAGGAACCCCGGGGCCTCCAGGTGACCCAGTATGTATAGAAACTGACTTGACTCTATTACACTTAAGGCAAATGTTGCAAATGTACCTAAAATGACTAACATTTGAATATATATTTTCTAAAGTCAATTATTTACAGCTGAATACTCTAAGTTACCTTTGAATCAATTCCCTGAAGGGTTCTTACATAGCTAGAAAGGATATAAACTCAGGTAACCTGCATAACTCCTCTTTTAAAGGCCTCCTGGGTGTATTATATGAAGAACCACAAGAATTAGTGCTATGCTGAATGTTAAATTTCATGTCCCAAATTAGGCTTCAACCAGAGCTGTTTTTTTGTCGGGAGGGAGGATGGGAAGGGGGATATTTAAGGTTTGGGTTAGAAAGAGAAATTAGGAAATCTGAAGAATTTCAAACTAAATTTCTTCCTCTTCCTCTCTGCAACCCTCTTCCTATTTTTTTTTTTTTTTGTGGATGTTATGTAATGTAAAGCCTCCCTTGCAGACATCTCTTCCAAGGTTTCCTCTATTAAAAATAATTATGATAAACTGCCACCAATTGAACTGAACCTCCTGAAACCCCAAAGAGTGTCCAGCTGCAGAGTTCTTAGCCCTTCCACCAAAGATTTCTCCCTCTGGCTCAGCCCTGATAAGACAGACAGAAAGGTAGCAATACTGGGCTTTACAAGCTGGAAACATAAGGGGGACCTGTGTAACCATGTGGTCTTGCCCATGGGAAAGATTTCAGTAAGAAACTTACTTGTTAGTATAATAAAGCCAAATTTTTAGATATAAAAAGGGAAAAGGAGAATACAATGAAAAACAAGGATGACCAACAATCCCACAGACAAATTTCAGACCAAGTAAATATAGGCAACGTAACTGAGTGAGTTATGTATCCCATCTTTCATAAGATCTTGGGCTTTAATATGCATTCAAATTGCAAAGACCAGGGTTGTTACCCTTTCTTTCTTCTTTTCTCCCTTTTTCTTTCTTCCTCTTTCTCCTGAACACCATCCTTCAGTTTTATAGAATGTGGAGGATGATTGAAAGCCAGTCTCTTTGGGGACACTGCTGCTTTACCAGTCTAGTAAAATCCTCCATCTCTGATGTCATGGGTCTAGCTAATTATGAAGAACATTATCTAGCAACTGAATTACTTTCCTGATGACCCTAGATATTTCTCCTGAGTTACTCAGTTTGGCCCATAAAGTCAACAATACAATTCTGAAAAGCAGCATTAAAGGAAAACAATATATTTAAATACTGTACCAATACAATCTCAAAACAACTTATAAAATGCCAGGTTAAATTCAGATTGCCTTTTGCAGTTATTGGTCTGTCTTTCCCAATGTCAAAAATAGGGACAAACTGCATATCTTACTAACTTTAAAAACAATGCTACATTTTAATTCCAAATAAACTGTCCTTGGAGATACAGAAGAGTGCTTATCTGAAAAGATGGAATAAAGAAATACAGTAAAGAAAGAAAATGTGTTTAGGGATAATGTAAGCACCTGTCTAACAGTGTGTTTAACTGCAGGTTGCTCTTCCTCTTCTTGGCGATGTGGGTACTTTATTAAAGGTAATTACCTTTTTGTAGCCACTCTTTCCCACTTTTTTTTTTTTAAAAAAAACACTTCTGCATAGGCTTGATGGTTTGGATCCTTTTAATCTTATCAGAGTTTTGGCATGCACTGATCTCCTAGCCATCTCCCCATAGCTGGCACAATGATTAGAGGCAATGGGAGATCTACACCAGATGGCCCTCATTATTCATAATTCACCATCCACAGTTTTGGTTATCCATAGGTGGTAAATCCGCCCAGAGATTACTATCTATGGTAAAGAGTTTCTGTGGTTCTTAGGGCCTGTTCTATTTGGAGGAAGACTTTAATGTTTCTTTTACACAAATGTAAAAGGGATGATGTACTTTTCTGCATGCATAATATCCACCTTTTTCAAAGTCTTTTATCTACAGTTTTTTTCAGCAATTTTTAGGCTGGAACAGAAGCCCCTTGAATAATGAAGGCCACCTGTATACAGTCTCTGTTCTTACATATAGTTCTTAATTTTAATGTTTAATGTTTAATTTATCATTTCATAATCCAAAATTCAAAATATGGGAAACCTCCATTAAAGCTTTCCTTCCTTCATGCTATCAGAATCTTGATTATTTATATATATTTAAATCAATATTTTATTTTGTCATTTATATCTGTATATGTAATTGTCTCATGCATGAACATGTAGCTTTGCTGGGCCTTGAATCCAAATATGAAAGAAATGGTCTATTAGAATTAGAGGAATCCAAATCTGATTTGACAGGAGGAAAATCTGTCAGGGAATACTTGGAATAAACTCAGCTGCAGCTTTAGTCTGAGTCCATTAACTTTTTTCCCCTGCCCTGATCTTTAAGTATTCAAAAGATAAACTTCTCTGACCTAATCTATCTTGGACGAATAATCACCATGCCTTTTGATATTTTGAACAGAATATTTCTCAGAGGAGAAAAGGGAATATTGCAAACTTATTGTAGGCATGGCCTTGAAGTTAGGGAGATATAGCTAGTATTATCCCCTCTGTGAATACATGCTTCAAGGCTTTTTTTTTTTTTAATTTCCCTCCATCATTGTCTTTGTGCCTATTAATTAGGGTGATCCTGGCCCAAGAGGTCCCCCAGGAATCCCAGGAAGAGAAGGGCCAAAGGTGAGTTCCTCATGTGAGCTTTTTTAAACAAAGTTTGCTCATTTGTGTATTTGATTTAGTTATGCATGCACTGTTTTATTTTTAAGTTGTAAATGCATTGTTTTTCACTACCACAAATAATCAACATTTTGGCTGATTAAAAGCCTGTGTGCATCCCATATTCCTGCACAACCCCCCTCAGAATAAGTGACCAGCCAGTTGGCGGCTCTTCTGGAAATGCACAGAAGCTTTTAATTAAAGAGGTAGTTGCATGCGAGACTTACTGAGCGGAATTTATCAAGGAAACATTATAAAAATGTATAAAAGAAAGAAAAGAAAGAATCTGGGCAAGGCAATGGACTTTGCCAAATCACAGGTTTTACACGTTGAGCTGATTTCAAGATAACAATGTCTCAGCCACACAAGGGTCCTCAGAGTCACAATAGCAGTAGTCTTACTAGCTTATTGTTGGAATCATTTCCATATGATTAGGCCCCTCAGTCTAGTCCCTTGATTTATCTTTGACAATTGGCATTGTTAAACCTTTCCTGTTCTTTTTTTTCTCCTTAGTTTATCTCCTACTGAATGTTGCACTTTACAGGTACAGGAATAGTGAAGTACCAAGAATTCCTGTGCAAAATTAGCTTGAAGATTTTTCAGAGTTGTCCGAGCACTAATTCATATATACAAAGTGATCTCTCTTAGTCTGTCATTCCACATCAACAGTGCAATTCTGTGAAGATTAAACAGAAGTCAGTTCTCTTGAATTCAGGATTGCAATTTTAACTGTGTAAATGTTTGTAGGCATTTAAGCCATAATTGATGCTGCAGTTGTTAGAGCTATGGAACAAGGAATGTGTTACAATCCCTGCCGGGCTATTTTGGCATCCATTACTTGAAAATGTTTCCTCTGATAAACTTGTTTTATAAACCAGACAATGTCTATTTTCTTTGTTCCTAGGGGAGCAAAGGGGAACGTGGCTTTCCTGGCCTTCTGGGAGAGAAAGGTGATGAGGTAGGAAGATCTACTCCTGCTGCCACAAGAATTCTTTTCCAGTTAGCATTAGCTCTTGTCGTTTTCCAAGTCTTCACTCTAGCCAGTCAGACAACTTTTTGCACTGGGTCATTTGATTTAACAAGCCTTGCCGCTGCCGCTGCTGCCGCTACATCTATTAGCCCTCTCACTATAACCCTAGAAAACAAGACATCTTTGGCATGGGGAAGGCATTTCTCCACTATCCATTTCTCACAAGGTGGAAAATACCCCCCCAACACACACACACACAAAATGATTTTCCTTCTTCACATTACTGAAGGGAAAAAGTCTCCTCTGCTCAAAAAATATGAATGTAGGATCATGGATTCCTCATATCACCAAGGATCCTTGGGACAAAGGGATCTTTAATGAGAGGGTTTCTCTTCCCAGAAACATTTTTAGGCAGGAAGCTTTTTTTCAACTTAAATGAAAGAGGCTATTTGTTCCTTTCAGTTGAATAAAATGTTCCTTGCTGAATAACATGCTTCTTCTCTTCCCCACCAATCTCCTCTTTCCATTTTTCTGCCTTTATTCCTTCAGCCTTTCTTTCCCCTTTCTTTCTCTGTATTTTATTCTCTCCCTTTCTCTCCCTTTTTTTTCCCCTACCTCCCTCTCTTTGCTACCTGTTTCTCCTCTCTTTACAAGAGAGAGAACATATTGTATTACCTAGATAGTGGATGTTGCAACATTGTGTAACTGGCCATGTCTCCACTTGGTAGCTGAATCCAAGGGTTGTTTTTAAAATTTAAAAATACCTGCAGGCCAAAAAAATGGGGATCTCAGTCTAGCATTTACAGCAACACTGAAGTAAGCAAACATGGATTTCATCAGCAATCTTTTGTCAGAATATCAGAATAAAATAAATTCAACCAAAAAGAGTAAATTGCTCTTTCAATTTGTTAAAATGAAGCCAGGTGATTAAATATAATGCCTGCAACCATTTTGAAGGATAGCATATAAGTTATGTGGGAAGAGATAAAAAAGACACACACACCCTTTGTTTTTTTTTTAATTATGATTTGTTTTAATTTGGTTGGAGTCATATGGTTTTCTGAATTTTATTAAGACCTCTCTAAGTTTATTCTTTTTGTAAAATAAACATGGGTAATAAGGAATAATACAAGCTAGTATCATACTGTCATGAATACCTTGACAAACACTGATGATCAGAATACATTTGCTTTGGGAAGACACTATATTTATTGACTTTTTTAAAACATTGATAGAGGCTTAAATACTGCTCCAGCTGTATACAGCTATGAATGCCTTATGCCTCCATGTCCATTAACAAAGACTAAAATTAAAAGATAACGATATAACATTGCATAATATGGCACCAGTTTAGCAGAAGCCTGTTCAGTAAAATAAGCAGAATGATTTTAAATTCAGCACAGGCAACCAACAATATTTATTTATATGGGTGGCTTACAATATATTTATCTGTTCCTTTACAATGCAGTAAAAGAAGCAGCAATAGCATAAAATCCAGACACCTGACATCAAGCAACTCTTGACAATACTTCATTCTTCAGAACCCAGGAGCAACAAGCAAACCCAAATAAAAGGGCTGGTTTATAATTGGCACTTAGATTTTTAAGAGGCTCCAGAGTCAGGGCAAAACTTTTTATTAGATCAGTAAGGTGCCACATGGACTCATTCGGTTACTAAGGATCGCACTGCTGCACCGGCGATAAGCTTCTTAAGCAATCTGCACTCTTGAGTGGCTCTTACATTCTATCGCACTGCAAGTGGATAAATTAATCCTATTTCCAGTACAGCGGGTTGGGCCTGAACGAAATAGAATTTCAAGACCAGCAAAGCGGAGTTGTACTTTAAGTCAATCTGATACTGTTTCAGGTTTCACTGATCTTTGAATAAACCCCACAGGATAATTTTGAGAGAGTATGCATGTACTAGATACGGGTTCTTTTCCCCATCAGAAAGGGAGAATTATTGTATCCAGTAACATGTTCTGCCTCCAGAACTTTTGCCTTGTTTTTCTTCAATATTCTTTAGCTTTTATTGTATTTTCAATTTAATTGTAAACTGGAATAAGCACCTAATCTTAACAGCAAAGGTATCAGATGGTAACTCATGCATTGAGGTGGATCCTTTCTGACCTTCAAAATTACAGTAATATAAGCAAATAGTATGAAACTATGAACCATAAAATGTCTGAAATATCTCCAAGGATATAGGAGCTACTTTCTCTTTATTTTTTTTTTGTTATTATATCTGGTCCAGGGCCCTTTCCAGATTTTAGCATATCAATCTTATCATAGATTTCCTGCAAAGTTAAGGATTTTTTTTTCCAAATTAATGGCATTGTTACAAGTACATTACAGGTACAGGAATAGTAAAGTAATATTTACCATACTAAAAAGTAAAATTTACCAATGGTAAATTTCTCCACTAAACTGACAGAGTGAGAGTAGAAAATTGTCCCATTTTGAACAAGTATAACATGAAGTAGATTTAAAAAAAAAACAACTCTTGTATGTTGGGAGTACTCTCCATACATCTACTAAATTAAATTTTGAATATAAGTATAAAGAGCAGTGCGACTTTGGGATCTCATTTTCTTTTACAAATCTTATTCCTATCCAATGATGGAATCAAAACTAACATCTCCAGCAACTATTATCTGATCTATTTGTAACCCAAACAGATCCAACAATTGTCCTTTTTTATGCTAAATGATTGTATGATTGGTTCCAGTTGCTTAAAATGAAACAGAATGGTGTCTGATGTCAAAAGGCTGGTGCTATGCAAAGGAACTTTCTAGAAGAAGATGCAATCCTAGTTTTGACATGAGATGTGGTACATAGTGATCAAATGATATTATAACCAAGAGCTTGTCATTGCAAGCAGTAGCAATGGGAAACTCTTGAATCTGAGAGCAAAATGGCAAGTATTTACTCTTACTTTTTGTCTCTGCTTCTTCTCTAAAATTTTTGTTCATACATGGAAGAGAGGAGAGACGGAAGCATATTTGTTTCCTGTTCTATATCAGATTAGTCAAAATGCCCTGGATCACTTCAGGGTATACTTTAACATAAAATTAGAAGTATTGAGAGATGGAATGCTGGATATCTGGAAGTGGTCAAAATCTCCACTTCTTTTCTTGTGCAGCTTGTGGGTTCCACAACTTGTGGAACCTATACATAAGCACAACTTGTGGAACCTGTACGTAAACACAAGCGAAACATTGCATATCAACAGAGTGGTTGCAGGTAAGCTAGAAGCATGTTAACAGACACTACTTGCATCATTAGTCAAAGCATAGGCAGGCAATGCCCTGCAAAAATAGTCCACATGCATAATCTTGTTCCTCTCACAATAGCATTCCATTCCTCTCTTGGGTTTATAGCACCTTTTAACTATCAGTGTGATTTGTTGTTGTTTTACATAAGAATCCTTGGAAATGTTGGCTGGTGAAAATGTTGAGAATTATCCATTAGAGGTACTCTGATCCATTTAAACAAAAAACAAACAAACCTAAAACTCCAAGATTTCTTTGTGAAAAAAGAATGGCTGTTTAATTGCTTTGTCCATCATGCAACTATCTCTTATATATGAGCCAAGGAATATTAAACAGTTATTGACTGTTATTATGGAACCAAATACCTCTAATATCTCCATTATAATACATGTTTATTAAAGAGGTATATCTTATTTCATTAGAATATGCAACAAAAATCCATTCTTTTTCTTTCTTTCTAGTGCTAAAATAAATAGTAAGCAAGAAACTTCTCAAATATTGGTTTTTAAAGAAGCTGAAAAAAATAATAATCCAAGTAAACATAATGTAAACATACTTTATAAATAAATTAATTGTATTTATTGCATAACCTAGTTATAAGAATAATGGGGACAAAATGTTAGGTATACAACAGCATATATAGTATTGTCATTATTAATATACAATACATAAGTTTAATAACAGTAAAAACGTATTACAGTAAGTTTACAATAATTACACTTACTAAGTATATCTACATTTACTTTAAGTATAAAATATAAAAAATAATCTATATAGAGAGCACTACAAATTACCAGATAAAAAGTAATGAAAGTATATATTCTTCCTATATGAATGACATATATTATTTCAATTAATTTTAATGAGTTCATCTATACATCCCCATGCATGTGTGCACACTCACACACACATACACTCACATACATGCATACATTCACATATTCACATTCTCATATGTTGATTTATTTCAGGGCCTTCAAGGAATTCCAGGGCTGCCTGGTGTGGCAGGACCACCAGGACCTTCTGTAAGTATTTGATGTCATTCTTGCCAATGACATACTGCAGCCTTGTAACTTCACAGCTTCAGTTCAATATTCTTCTTAAAATGATTTGAAAAGAGGATCTGCTAAACTGAGTGCAGGTAGTAGTGCTTGATAGGTTACAGCAGAAGGCAGTAACTTGGTTGGTCTGAAAAAGCTAAGCAGGGGCGGATCTGGTTAGTTCTTCAGTGAGGACCACTAGGAAGTCCTAGGAATGTAGAGGGGCTGGAGAAGTTTTAATAAGATCCCAAAAGAAGGCAAGGGCAAAGGACTTCCATGTTGTTGTCAATAAGCAGCATGAATGCATCAAGCTTGCCTTGTTATATACAAAAGAATATTTAATAATTCCTGAACATGTTGACAGTATTGGAATTTGAATGAATAGAAATTTGGGAGAAATTAATGTTTGCAGGCTTTGCAGAAACTGCAGTAAAATGGGTGGTCATATCCCTAATTCACTTTTAGTATAATTGTTATTCTTACACTGAGGTGAGTTGTATGCAGTGCATTATCTGCAAAAGGTATGCTTCATTATTATTCTCAACCCACCACAGTTGTTTGTACACATAGAACCAGCTGAAATCTACTCACCTAGGGATACAGAATCAGAGAAGAGTTTATTGGTCGAGGAAGGAATATGAAAGTTCTCTTTTAAGGCCTCAAGCTATGTTAGATATAGTTGTCTTAATTTAAAAGAGTGTGATGAATATTTTTTAGTCACTGCAGTACCAGAAAGGGGAAAGAATGCAATCAGAAACACTGCTTTCATCCATCATATTTTAAAAATAAGTTTTGTACATCAAAGATGTATCAGTAAGATACAGCAGTTGTATCTCTAGTACAGTGGTGACATATGCCTTAGTTATGGCTGAATACAATTACATTATTTCAGAATAAAATCATTGCAAATAGTTTGCCAAAGTTGGGGAAAAGGAAGGGAATGGCATCAGAAACACAACTTTCAGCCATTCTATTTTAAAAATATGTCAAAGACATACAGTATCAATAAGATGCAGTAGTTGTACAAGTATAACGGTAACGTGTGCCTTAGTTACATGTAGGCTGAAGAAGTGCAATGGGGACTATCTTTGAAGAATATTTGGAAACTTTAGCAAGTCCTGAGTTTAGTAGCAAGGATATTTATACATACTGACCCTTGGATTGCATTCCACTTATCCTGTAGCACTTGTACTTATTTGCACATTTGTTTAGGAACAATTACCTGAAGGGCTGCTTTCTGCTGTATCATTCATATCCTCAGATCAGATGGAGAAAGTTTTTCCTGTGTCCTACCTATGATGTAGACAGTGCAGGGTAGGATGTGATAGGACCTTCTCAGGGACTATATCAATACTGAGGGATATCTTGCCCCTTGAGTCCTAGGTTGGGGGCTGAAGATGTTTATATAATGCTAAGATTTGCTTTCCTTGAGATAAAAGGTTTATCTGGGAAAATGAGTTTCATCTATTATACAGTGTTTGTTTTGGGTTATATCTGACTGATACATCAGATGAATTAAATATACATGTTTAAATAATTGGACAAAAAGAAATAATTTGTTTAAAGTTACTTTTCAGAAGCCCAGCTTTCAAACTCTGAATGTTATGACATTAAACTCTTTTCTTAATGTAACTTCTTTGTTTTACAGGGTCCAGTAGGAAGACCGGGACAACCTTGTTCACCAGGAACAAAAGGCGAGAAGGTATGCTACTCAGTATACACATTCCTTCTAAAAGCATTTTTATTGTTAGTTCACTTAATTTCTTCTTAGTTAAATAAAGAATTGCAGGTGCACTCTGTAATCCTACTGAGTTTGAATCTTTCAGTTTATGGAAGTTTGAAGATATCTGTAACACTTTCTATGGATCTGTGGTTTATGTAGCTTCTTTTTGCCAGGTAATCAGTTGAGTATATTGTTGGATCTTTAGTACTCATGGAAATTACAGGCTTGCAGGACCATCAAACTGAACATCAGACATCATCAGGAATCTTTTAGGGACTCCTTTTTTGGAGCTTGGCCCTGTTTTTCTAGTCTATCAATATGGGTCCTAGTAATAGTGCAATAACAATCCACTGATTATTTCTGAAAGCAGTAATTGTAGTACTTCTGATCTCATATTTTTGCTGAAAGTTTATGACTCTAAATGTGGTCATTTATCAACATGTAAAACCCAAAATTGATTTCTTAAACAAGTATAAACAATTTCTTTGAAGTGTACTAAAAGTAGATGAGTTCATAAGAAACTTGGCTTTGAAGTGTTCTGAGAGCTTCAATGTCAACAGCATTCTTGAGGCTCTCATAACCCATCTGTAGCTTAGTGTTCTTCATTTGAGAATGGGTGCCTCCTGCTACAACAATTTGTTTGATAGTACAGATTAATCACCATTAGTGCCTTCTTTTAAGACAGAGCAATATACTTTCTTTTTCATTTTTATATACTGTATTTATATATTGCAGAGACAATTTGTCATAAGGTTTTTATATTGTAGAGACAATTTGTCATAGGAAACTGGTAACAGTTATTTTAAAAAGATGATTTTTATCTTCAATAAAACATTTCCATTTTTCCCAGCCCTATTAACTTTAATCATCCATCTCCCAAATTCTGTGTCCCACTGTGAAGTAGATACTGATAGTATTTTACAGCACACACATCAACAGTGTTGATTTGGGTCCTTTTCCTCTGAGTCGATCAAAAAACCTGCAAATAAAAGAATAGAATGAGGTCCTGAAATTGCATGGCATAGCCCCTGTGGTTAGATTGGAATATTTCTTAGTCATTAAGGTGAAATGCACAGAGCTTTTGGAATTGCCATTGAGATAAGAGGTAGCATTTTAAAATATTTTATGTGAAAGAGCTCTAAGAAATCTAAATATTACTTATTTTATACTGCACATTTGAAATAGAAGTATTATGTGTATGTGATCTGTAAAATCCTGCTGTTCTCCGTTGAACAGGTCTTTTCAGAGTGTTATTCTTCTTTTGGTTTAGGGAAATGAGGGTGCTCCTGGGAAGCCTGGACCACCTGTAAGTAATACGCATGCTTTTACAAGTGGTTGAAGTCCTAAAAATATGTCAAAGTATGCTTCTTTGATTTTGATGGAACAGATCTACAAGGTTAGGCCTTGTATCAACTGGGAAGATCTGTATCAGGGAAGAACCGAACCCAGTCCAGGAACTGGAATTAGTTTCCTATCAGCTTCAGCAGGTCAGATGTTGTCAGGGGAAACTTTATTCCTGGACAAGTGCCTTGCCTTAATGTTATCTGTTTCTCTAAGTTGAAACAACCTCTTCCTAGAGAAAGACAGTCCATGGAGTCAAAGCAGGGAAGCTCTCCCACCTCTTTCTTCATGCTTCTATGCAGCAACCAATGGAGAGATGTTATTCAGTGATAGTTCTGCAACATGTCTGGATTAATCTCCCATCTGCTGCTGCATAGAGAAAGGGCTTTGGAGGGGGAGATGTCATTCTTCACAACAGCTGCATAACTGTCCTTTCTGCATGATGAAGTAGAAAGCCATCCAAAGAGAAGCCAGAGTCATTTTGCCTTCCACCATCCCTCACAGTTTACCCTGCCATGGAGAAAACAGACAATTTGAGGAAGGTAGCCTAGGAGCAGGAGGGACTTTACAGGCTGAGCAGATCCAGAATTTCCCCATGCCTGCTCTCTAGTGTAGGAGAATTTCTGTTTTCATGCTGTGGCCTCAGGTAAAGGATATGCAGTGCTTATGTCTTAAAAGACATCAGGATTTATTCTGAGTTTTAGGTTTATTAATTAATATATTCTCTTCATTTTTTTTTCAGGGTATACCATACAGTGAAAGAAATGGCATGAGCAGTTTGTATAAACTACAGGTATCTTTTAGCATGGAACACATAATGTTTATTTCTTTGTTTAATGTATACCCTGCTTTTTATTGATTAAAAAAATAGCAAAATGGGGACACAATCGATTATAACAATTTACATTAAAAAACAATGCAAATCTTCTAAAAACAACCTAAACTTTTAAACCAGAAACATAACACAAAATAAAAATCTCTTAGTCCAGAAAAGATCAATTAAAAAAAGGAGGACCAGTGGCACAAAATTAACTAAATCACTTTGCATGAATTAACATTTAATTTAAATTAAAGTCTGTTTCCTTTTGCAGGGAAGTGCCAATGTTGCCAGTTATGCTGGTCCTCCTGGTCCTCCTGTAAGTATGCATGGCATTATTATAGTTTGATATTTACTGTATATGAATACAGTATATACAATTATTTTGTACAAATTGCAACACTTTCTTTGTTTCTGTCCAGAAACAAGCCTGATAAGAAAAACAGCAATTTGCATAGTACTAGCATTCACTAATACCTAGATTCTGCTTGATTTTTTTGTTTTTCAATGTGTTTTTCAATGTGACTTTATAAATTAAAAAAAATATTATGATTGGCTTTGGCTTTTTCTCCATGGAATAAAAAAACAGGTTGAAAAAATTCCAAGTTAATCAACTTTTGACCAGCACACAGTTAGAGATGGTAAGCCAGTTCAGTCCAATGGGCATAATATATCTTGGTCTATTAATTAAGTTTATAATTAGGAATAAGATTCATGTTTAATTTCCATTAAAAATGTCAACAGATTTTAAAAGTAAAGGTTATAATTCATATTTTTAAAATAGTATATTACTATGTAGCCCAGTCCGATGCAAATAAACCTCGCTGGGTTTCAGTCACCCTGATTCCATGACAGAGTTCTGGCATTGCACATGCAGGCTCCCACTTTGCCTGGATAATCCCAGTGTGGTGTTGTGGTCAAAGTGTTAGACTCACACACTGGGACTCCCAGGTTCTAGTCTATCCTCAATGACAGAGGTTCATTGCAGTTTTAGATTTCTGACTGAAAATGGAAAAGGATTTGTTGGTGATAAGAAAAAAGCTACAGTGCTGATAAAAGTAAGCCTAGATCAAGAAAGCATGATGGAAGTTAAGTATCTTTTGGTTTCCCAATCGTTTCTGGAGAAGAAAATCCTTAGTGTGTTATTTGTCAGAAAAAGCTGTCCATTGAAAATACAACCATGGCAAACTAAAATGACTTCTAAAAACAAGTTGTGATGACTTAGCTAACAAATCTTCAGATTTTTTTTCACTCAAAAAGGGAATGAAATGAAAAGAAGAAATTGGGAATCTGGTTAAGTATATCCCTCCAGAATCATTTCTTATCAAGTTGTAAAAAAAAAACAAAAATAGGAGAAAATTACATTTTCTGATACATACTGAGATGATTACAAACAGCTTCCAAGCGTCTCTTTATTTAATGACATTGTTTTCCAACAAATTGCATATATATGAAATCAATTAATTGAAAAGCTAAACACAGAATTTTTCATTCAGGTAGATGAGGTGATGGATAGCCGTAAGGATGCTCATTTAATAACATAGTTTAGATTTGTTGATGAAGCTAAAATACATGAGGATTTACTCTTCTGCAAAGAAATCACAGGGATGAGTAATGATTCATAAGCAAACACTTGATCAGAATAGATGAGCCCAGCACTGGAGAAGTTTCTACAAACAACAATAAATATTGTGAACTATATAAAAACCAGGCCTGTCAAGGCAACATTATTCTCAAGAGTTGGTTTTGTTATTGTTTTACTGTGAGTCAAAATGGCTGCTTTGGGAAACATTTGACACATGCTTTTGAAGTGAAAAATGAATTTTATCAGTATTTAACTGAGGAAAGGCACACATGTTTGTCAACAGTGATTTCAGTGTGCAACTAGGATATTTAGACCAAAATAAACAGTTTAAAAATTCTATCTTGGAATATAGCGGGCTGATGTCGTAACAGACAGCTTAGTCCCTCCAGTCCCCTATATGGCAAAGACACATTGAGGTTGCAGGAAACTTGGACAGCCGATGATCTTCTACTTGATGGCTATTACTCTTTTCAACTGGGAGCAACCCCGAGAAGAGGCCCAGGAAGACGAAAAGGAGGATTGGGCACCCTTATTTCTACTTCCTGAAGAGCAGAACCTAAGCTTATATCTACATTGGACCAATTGGCCCTGACCATTTTATTAGATTTGGAACTAGTTCCTCTGTTACTTATTAATGTTTACCTGGCCCCAA